TCCCACTAGCTATCTATTTTACGTTTGGTAGTGTATATATGTCCATGCCACTCTCTCACTTCATCCCAGCTTACCCTTCCCCCTCCCCGTGTCCTCAAGTCCATTCTCTGTGTCTGCGGGAAGACATGAGTCTTATCAAAAGTCCATGTGATTTCTATCACAGAGGCACAATTTCCCCATGGCTGCCCCAGGCTTCTGCTAATATGGCTGTTGTATGTAAGGAAGCGAACTTCTTCAGCCATTAAAACTCACACCAGGAGGGACAAATTAGGGGTATGGAATTAACAGATACAAAGTACTATTTATAAAATAGGTGAACAACAAGGATATACTCTATACCTCAGGGAATTTACCAATTATCTCGTAATAACCTGTAATAAAGTATAATCTGCAAAAGTACTGAATCACTGTGCCGTTCACCTGAAACTAACATAATATGTAAATCAACTGTACTTCAATTAAAAACAAAAAAATCACCCCAGCTGATCGCAGTACAGTAGCCAGCTTGGTGCAAAGGACAATTTGTAGAGAAAAATATTCATAATATGCAACTGTCTGTTAGTATTCCATTTCAATTGCTTTGAGAGAGATAACAGTACAGGACATGCTGCTTGAGACAGGGTTAAGCATATTTTCTCTGTTCCCAGAACCTTAAAAATGACTTTAAACTCTTCCCACACTCTGGGGCATCAGTAAGGAAAGAGTTGACAGCCCCTGCCCACAGTGACAGTTGTTGACGGAGTCCTTTGAAAGACCTGGTTTGTGGCCCACTGCCCTGAAGTCCCCGTGTGATTCATAACAAGGCTCTGTTGTGAGAGTAGCTCTTGCTGGTGGGAGACCGAAGGGTGTAAGAATGGGGCCAGCTGCCTCAAGGTTATGTTGTGGGCGGGAGTGTGAGGCCGGCAGAAGAGCAGGGGAGGTGCCCACATGGCACCACCTTCCTTAGTTGAGCTGTCCACTCACTCATCCTTCCAGTTCTGCAAGGGTAAGCTTCTTAACATACTTGCTGAGAGATCTGATATCCTGCCCTAGTTCTCCTTGGAAAAGTATAAGGTGAGCTGGCAGAAGGGACAGAGGTGAGGGGTAAACCTTTTGAGGTCTTAAAGATCTGTCCATTCCAGGAGCAGGGCCAGGTCCTTCTGTAATTACCCGTGGCCTTGGGCCTTGTCATAGGTGAGATAGTTTGGATCTTATAAGACCACCTTGATTTGCATGCGGAGTTAAACACAGACCCACCAGAGACGAGCATCTCAGCTGAGCTGCGGAGACTACTGGGGACAGGCCCAGAGATGCTGTCTTGCAGAGCTCCAGCTGTTCTGACTCTTCCCTGCAAGTCATTCTCCCAGCTCATCAGAGATACCCAGGCAGGTCCCTGAGGAGAAGGTTATGGGTTTAGAAGTGGCCTAAGTTCTTGACATTTTGTAAAACCTTTTAGCCACCCCTCCACCTTCTATCCATTGATTCAACAAATAATTATTGAGGACACACCGGCCATATGCCAAGCCCTGTGCTAAATTCTGGGGGAGGGCTCCTACCCTCATGAAAAGTACGGGGTAGAGAGGGGGCAGATGATAACTAAGGAAACAAATCAACAAGATAATGACAGACTGTCAGTGCCGTGAAGGGAATAAACAGGATAAATAAACGAGAGAGACAGTGACAGGGAGGGGCTGTTCTGTAGGGAAAGACCTCTCTGCAGCAAGGACATTTGAGTTGAGACCTCAAGGAGATGAAGAGCTGGAGGAAGGGCATCCCAGGCAGAGGGGGTACAAAGACACAGAGGCAGAAAAGCCTTGGCATGCTCAGGAACAGAGAGATGGTGGCCGGAGAGTGGTGAGAAGAATGATTTGGGGTGAGTTCAGAGAGGAGGCAGGAGCCAGGTCGTGTAGGGCCTTGGAGGCCGCGGTCAGAGCTTGGATTTTATTCTGAGAGCAAGAGAAGCCCCTTGCTGACAGTGTCACACAGGAGTGGCAAAGTCATTAAAGATCACTGCGTGCTCGCTGCAGTTAAGAGCTGTGAGGCATATCTATATGTGCTGCTATAGAACGAGTCACAAGATACCCTACGTGGGGAAAAATCCCAAGAAGCAGAATACAGTATAAAATATGCTGCTAATGTCTTTTTAAAACAGGAGATGTATATGTATATAGGCTTGCCCGTGTATAAAGTAACCTCATTAAGGATACCCAAGAAGCTGGTGAGGGTTTGCTTCTGGGGATGGGGAACTGCAGCATAGGTAAAAGGGAGACTCTTCATAGTATATTCTTTTGTAAGTTTGAATATCTTACTATGTGCCTGTATCACTTATTCATTAAAAAAAGACAGTTTGTCTAAATTGCAGTCACCCTGGCCGCCATGTGGAGAAAGGGTGAGCACAGAAGCAGAGGACTGGCTAGTAGGCTCTGGCCGTGGTCCAGTTGAGAGGTGGTGGTGGCTTCACCTAGGGAGTTGGTGATGGGGATGCAGAGAAGCAGGAGGATTCATGATGCACTTTAGAGGCAGAGCCAGCTGGACTTGGTGAGTTCCACACGACAGTCCAGAGGAACGCTGTGTGCATTATAGGTGGGAACTGGGCCTACCTGACTCTTATCTGCCTCCTCTGTCATCCTTGTGGAAGGAAGGGTTCTTGGGCTCCTTCCAGGTGCTGAAAGCCTCAGAATTCCTGAGAATGTTGAATCCATCACAATATGGAGGACATAGTTATGGACATGTGCCCCTTTCACATCCTCATGCAACTGTTACAAACGATTTTTAATGACCATCAAAACAAAGTTACACTGAAGAAGCCCGCCCATTTCTCAAAGGAGCTTGCTTTCTTTGCAGAGAGATGCCAAAGGCCAATACCTGTTTGACCTTCTTTGCCACCACCTGAATCTGCTTGAGAAAGACTATTTTGGGATCCGCTTTGTGGACCCTGATAAGCAGCGGGTAAGTCAATATTCAAAGCACAGTTGGAGGAGAGGGTTGGTCAGTAAGCCTGAGGCCCTGAACTGTCTGTCACTCATGTTCAGAGTTTAGCCGCAGGAGTCGGGGACCAACCGGACCCTGCAGTTCGGTGTCATCTCTTCAGATCATATTGTGAGACGTGGAAGACCCCGTAGCAGAGCTCAGCCGGAGTGGTCCATCGTTTTTTAGATGCTGAAATGGCAGCCTCGAGAGCTGAAGTGATTTGCCCAAAGCTGCCCAGTTAGAGTCAGGGCAGCCGGGCAGGTGTTGTGGCCTCAGAGCCCAGGTCACAGGCTGAGGCTGTCCTGCCCCTCTCTAGTAAATGGGCTGATTCGCCTTGTTCTGGTTAGGAAGGGTCTCACCTGAGTGCCACAAGAACCCAATCTGGGCAGGACAGAGATGGAGCCGAACTGACGTGGGCTTTTCAGCCCTTGCAAATCCTGCAGTTCTTGTTCTGCTCTACACAACGTGGGCGGCTCTACAGACACAAGGCATTGACAAGGACTGTGATATTCTGGACAGATACAGAAACAAGGCCCCTGACTACTCCTCCAGCTTCATCTCCCCAACCGTCTCCACCCTGCTGTGGCCCCACCAGATGATACTGTGGCTCTCCACACACGTCAGACTTCTCCTCTTCAGAGCCTTCACCTGTACACTTCTCCTGTGGAACATTTCTTCCCCTTTCCTCACTTCTCTACTCTCCACACTTTCCTTCTGGCTAACTCCTTCTCACGTGTAAGGTCTCAGCTTAGGCTTTGACTTCTTCCCGGAAGCCTTCCCTAACCCCTACTCTGACTGAGGGGCCCCTCTGATGTGCCCCCATGTGCCCTGTTCTACCCCTATTGGAGTAGAACTTATTACACCATGCTGGTATCGCCTGTTTGATTACCTGTGTTCCTTGCAAAAATAGGAGTTCCACGAGGGCATTTACTTTGTCTCATTCATCACTGTAACCCATGGAACTAGCACAGGGCCTAGAATGCAGTGGATTCTCAATACATATCTGCTGAAGGGATGATGGGTGGGTGAGTTAGTGGGTTATAGTGCCATGTTCCTGCCCTCCACTTGCCCAGCTACCCTTCAGGCCCACGCCTGCAGTTCCTATAACTTCCGTCCATCAGCCCTTTGCTCGGTGTGGGAAGGTTCTCTCTGGCATCCCCACCGAAGTGGGAAAGTATGCAGAAGCATTCAGGCCTCACTGCCTCCCTTCCCCACACCCACTGTCGTCTACCATCCTCCAAAAGCACTGTCACCACGGGCCCCAGGGGGCCCCCCTTTCACGGGTCCACACATTTTTTTCATAGCTCCAAACATAAGCTTCATCTCTGTCACCACTGGGGACCTTGGAGCCCCGGAGGGCGCAGCCTCCCACCGGTGCCCAGGGCCACAGGTAACTCCCTCTCCAGGCCAGAATCAGGTTGTGTTTTTTGTTTCATTCATTCATTTATTAATTATTTGGCTGCATCAGGTCTTCATTGCTGCTCCCAGGCTTTATCTATTTGCAGCGAGCAGGGGCTACTCTTCGTTGCAGTGAGCAGGCTTCTAACTGCAGTGACTTCTCTTGTTGTGGAACACAGGCTCTAGACACACGGGCTTCAGTGGTTGCAGCACGTGGGCTCAGTAGTTGTGGCTCGCGGGCTCTAGAGCACAGACTCAGTAGTTGTGGTGCATGGGCTTAGTTGCTCTGCAGCATGTGGGATCTTCCCGGACCAGGGATCGAACCCGCATCCCCTGCATTGGCAGGCGGATTCTTAACCACTGCACCACCACAGAAGTCCCCAGGTGTTGTTTTGTTGTTTGATGCTCTGAGCTGCTGTGTCTCCAGGTCACATTTAGGGTTTTATGCTGAAGACTTGAGCTGTAGGAAAGAAACCAAAGCCTGAATCTGTTTCCTTTGACAAGCCCTGCCCCACTTTGCTGCCATGTTTCATTCCTCCTGGCTCAGCAGAATTCTGAGCATCACCAGTGTTTGAGGAGTGTTGAGGTCAGCCCCTCACCCTGTAAAGGCCCCACTGTCTTGGCATAAATACTATCCTCAGCTCTGGACGATAGTATAAGACCCCCCAAAGTGCCACGACACCAGGAAGCTACATGTCCTCACATGCTCTAGGTGTCCATTCACTCTGTAATGGTAGAGTCTTAGACTGTTTTTACAAAGGGATTTTGTTGTTGTAGTTTGTTTATTTTTGGGAGTCAGAGCTGTTTCTCCTTAAGAAGGGAGACCAGTTACCCCAAGGTCTCTTCATCTCCCAAAGGCAGTGGCATATGAAGAAAAAAGGGTAAAATGTATCCTGTTCATTATTTTTTAGTTGGATCAGCATGTGCTTGAGGAGGATAAGAGAGTATGTTGAGATGACAAAGATTAAAAGCCAAAGGAGACAGAGAAAAATAAGGAAATGGGGAAAAGGAGAAATAAACGTTCACGGAGTGACTCCTTTGTGCCAGGCTCCACGCTGGGCACAAATCTAGGTCTTTCAGCCAATGGACGTTGAGTGATGAGGTGTATCAGGCACGAAGCGAAGAGCTTCACATGTGTTATTCGATCCTTACCATGAATGAGATGAGTATCCGCAGTTATACCATCCATTCTCCAGATGAGTGGACGGTCTCGGACAGGTTATGTAACTTGCCCAAGGCAAGTGGCAAAGCCTGTCTCCTGCTCAGACCTGCCTGATGCCAGAGCCTGTGTGGTTTCTGGGGGTTCCATGCTGAATTCATACCCTATAGCCTCTAAAGTGACATGATTCTGTGCTTTTATTGAGGGTTTAAGGAGAGCCGGGAGGCTTGAGAGGGTCCTTGAGAGCTGTGGGGTAATGGACCTGTAAAGAATTGTCCTAGATCTACTGATCACGACAGAGATGGAGGAGATGAGCTCCCTGCCCCGCCCCACCCCAGACCTCTTCCCCTGAGCACCAGGGCGGCAGAGCCCAGCGCTCACATCCATCCCATCATCGCTTGCTCTGCAGGGGTCTCCATGGGGTCTGGGATTTCTCTGGTCCCTCCTGGAGGAGCTGCCCTCACTCCCTCTCCCCTGTTCCTGACTCAGGCCCTGGTCTCAGATTATTCTCACCCTCTCCTTCAAGCCCCCAGAGTCTGAAGATTGTACCACCTTGGCTCCTTCACCCAAATGCAGGAGGAAGCTCCGCTCTCTGAACCTTCTTTTTACTCTTCTCCTGACCCCAACTCACCAACCCAATGTTATCAATTTGCTAGTGATTCTGGGACCCAGATATAGGCAGACAGCTGCAGAAGGTAACTCTGGCCATCACCATATTTGGGGGATCCTGTCAAGATTTCTCTACCAGACCCTCTCTTGGACAAGCTTTCCGCCTTCTTTCCACCTGCTCCCGGTCTCCACAAGCTTTCCGCCTTCTTTCCACCTGCTCCCGGTCTCCTCCAGCCTCACTCCTTTCTGGAGCTCGCACTCCAGTACAAACTAAAGTCTTCTCTCCAGCTATTGCCAAGGGGAATAGCCTTTCGCCATTCAGCCTCTCTGCCTTCTGCTGATAATGGATCTATCATTGCACTTAGCTTCTGTCTATCTTCGTTTATTTATTTTAATCTATCGGTCCAGTGCCTCAGGGCATTTAGTTTTCTGAGTCCCCGACACTTGCTGTGTTCTTCTCACTGTCCAAAATTCTGGTGTGCTCCGCGCAGACAGGCCTCCTCCGCATTCATAGGCATGGTCTGGAACCCCAGTTGTTTCCGTGCAGTTTCATCTCCTTGCCTTTGCTTCCCTGTGAAGCCAAGCCGCGGTGGGCCGTGTAATGTGAGAAGGACCTCTTAACCACACTGAGTGGCTATAATGAGTTGCCAGCCTCGTGGGAACTCAGATCAGAGGAAGCAAGAGAGCAGGATGTCAGCCCAGATTATCCATGTGGAGCTGACGGGAGAACTGGCTCTTGGTGGGTCCATTAACTGTGTGACCCACGGCCCAGCCCAGAAGGTGAGAGCTGGGCATCGAGGGAGGCCAGGATGCGTCTGCGTGGCCCTGCCTGCTTTCCTGCCAGAGGGAGGACTCTGCCAGACGTTTTACTAAATAGAAGTAGTCAGAAAAGAGGGAGGTGTGGACCTGGTTCCTTCTCCTGTTCTACAGCTGCACGTTGAACACTGAGCTGGGCACCAGTGATACAGTGGTAAACAAGACAGAGTTTTCTGCCCTCACAGAGCAGTGGTTTTCAGCTACTTCCAGATAATCAAGCCCCAAATATCAGCAGTTCTAGCTCTCTGCAAATTAGCAAGGTTCCTGATTATCAAAAAAGCAACAAACATCAATAGTGCATTTTATAAGGCATCCATGTAGAAGTGGGAAACTGATATAGAACGTTCTCGTTGCTTCCTTTCCCAAACGTAAGTGCCATGGGAAAAAATGCATTGCTACTATGTCCTGCCTTTGTGAAAATCCAGGGGAAACAGGATACTACACATTGATTGTGGTTAGTTATCTTATGAGACTTAGATCTTAAACATCCCTGGATGCCAAGGAATCCTGAGGATGTATTCCCTAACACAAGGGTTGGCAATGCGTTGCTCAAACAAAGATCAGATATACACCAGCCATCCCTGCCTTCTCAACATTTATGAAATTCCACCTGCCAGTGCTTTCTAGAGCTGCTACCAATAGCCTCTGTGTGTCATCCTGTCCCCACTGCATAACACAAACACAACCCATTAAAGGGAGTATTTCCCTACTAAAAAGCCAGGTGCGGCTCTGTCCCCATCACGCATATGTGCATTCATTTGTGCCTACGGGCATGCCAGAAACATGGCTTGGAACTCTGACGCCCTACGTTGGAAGGCGGCATTGCCAGGGAAGCCCAGAAATGGCATCTGAAGCTGGATCTCTTCCCCCCTTCACAGCTGGTTCCATGGGGAGCTTATTTCAGAAAATCATATCATTCTGTACTCTCCAAGCCTACATATCACAAGCTTCTGAGCTGCTTTCACCCTGGGCTACAATCTGTCTAGTTTTTTAAATTGAATAAAACAAGTTATATTTGACACTGCTTCTCATTAGGGCTTTCTTGTTCTGTGTTCTCTGTTTCAGCATTGGTTGGAGTTTACAAAGTCTGTGGGGAAGCAGTTGAGATGTAAGTATTGTCCATGAAAAGACGGAAGCCTCACCCCTGGGGAGGGTGGGAGGAAACCTCCCACTGGCAGTGAGTCTTGGGAATTTTCCACTGATCTAAGTGTAAGTTGGCCCTAACCATGGGAAGATTTTCTTCAGATGGTTCAGAGACCTGTGCATCCCAGTGGGGCGGGGAGCCCAGTCATCTTCCTGGGAAGGTCTTCCCGATGGGCACCTCTTTTTCTCTGCAGCCCAGCCTCCATTCACCATGTGTTTCCGCGTGAAGTTTTACCCTGCAGACCCTGCTGCCCTGAAAGAAGAAATAACCAGGTAAGGCTGAGCCCATGTCCCTCAGCCTCTAAGACTTGTTGGAGAGGATAGGAAAGAGGGACTGTAGCTTCCTAGATCCTCTACTTTGGAAGCTCCCAACTCTGATAGGCAAGGAATTCTTCCTAAATATAGCCTTACTTCTATATTTCATTTCCACATGCTCTCTTTGCTCATCCCCTCAGCAGAATTGCAACGGAGTGAGCTTCTTTCCTTTAAGAATACTTCATCTTAAACTGGTCATCTGCAAAAGGGTCTGGAGTAATGAATTAATCAAAAGCATTTTTTCTTTTACCACTGATGTGGCCACCATGGATGTTTTTGGAGATGGCCGTGTTGCTGCTTATTTGGGGGCTTGAAATAGACTCCAGCGGCCTAATGTACTTGGGAAATGGCAAAGCAGGACGCTGAAAAACGAGCTGGGAAACACTGAAGATTTTAAATCCAAGTGGGTGACCTCCCATGTGCTTATGGATCAGGCCCGTGATAAACTCTTCATTGTGGGGATCGTGTTCTGTGGCAGGCAGCTACAGGGAATGAATCCTGTCTCATCCAGCACCACTTGGGGATGAGAAAGAACCTCTGTGCCCACACCATCCTACAAGAGGGTCAATGAATTGGAGCCTCAAAGCTCCCCCAAGGGTTTTGTGTATCTAAGCCAAATTCACTCTAAAAGTCTGACCTCAGAGATTTAGAACTCTCTGAAACGGGATCTTAATTTTTATATTAGAAAGATGTAATTTGGACATTAGCAAAACCTTGATGTTACCTTGTAAAGGGTGGAACCCTAGGTGAAGAGATGATGCCAGGGAATCCTAGAGCCTCGGAAGAGACAGCTCTGCCAGCTCTGCCCCCCGCCCTCCCTAAAGCCTTAGAGACAGCAAAGATTGGGACGAGGCCATTGCCAGTGTAGAGACTGCTTCTCCTCTGAGGCCTTGAGGCCTATTTCTAGATGCTGAACTCCACATGAGCCCCAGTGGAGGTTGAGGGGAATCTTGCGAAGGAATCAAAAGGATCAGGAAGGTTGTTTCCTCCAGATGCTCTGAGCGCACCCACCACCCACTTTAAAGCACTGAAGACAGTGAAGTGTGTAGTTACAACCAAGTCTCGTGCTCCTTACTGGGCACATGGAAACTGCAGGCTCTGCTCATCCATGTGGAAGTGGATGTGGCCCCTACTTTGCCTGTGAAAACCAAGCTCATCCATATTAATGAGCAATCCTGTAGCTTTAGGCAGGGGAGTGAGGGTAGAACCACTGTGTTTAACAACTTAAACAGAGAGGAGTTTTGGTAAAGCACTAGCCTGCCCTGCTCATGACTTCCAGAGTGCTTGCCACAGTTCTGTACCTGCCCCTCCTTCCCCGCTTCCCTCCCCCTCCCCCCTTTCCTTTCCTCCCTCCCTCCCCACCTTTCTCTCCTGAAAGAGGTGATGGTGCCAGGGCAGACCCAGAAGTCCACGCTCCTGTCCACATGTCAGGGCAGATTTAACACATCTTTGTTGAGAGCCTAGCACCTAGCCTCCTAACACCTCGCATCAGGATCACCTTTTCTGCACCTCACTGGACCAACAGTAAGGATGAGAGGGTTTGGTCTAACAACTCAGAGGGCTGCCAGTGACAGCACGACAGACACACGGCTTTCTGATTTGATTAAAGGACAAAAATATATAGTTCTCTTGGCCCTTAGGAGGAGGTCTTTTTTTTTTTTAAGATTTCTTTTTGATGTGTGGACCATTTTTAAAGTCTTTATTAAATTTGTTACAATATTGCTTCTGTTTTATGTGTTGGTTTTTTAGCTGTGAGGCATGTGGGATCTTAGCTCCCTGACCAGGGATCAAACCCACACCCCCTGCTTTGGAAGGCAAAGTCTAAACCACTGGACTGCCAGGGAAGTCCCAGGAGGAGGTCTTAACAGTACAATTTTCTAAAACAAATGTCACTGCATGATACTAATGTACAGACCCTCCTACCCAAGGAGCAGCATAGACCGGGAGGCTCAGATCCTGTTTCTGCTACTTCTTGGCTATGTGGCCTTGGACATAAAATAGTTAACTTCTCTGACCTTCAGATCCCTTATTTATAAAATGAGGATAGTAATAGTACCTCCCAGCTTCGTTGGGAGGATTAACCACTACATGGGGTCTTGTACTTCTTAATACACCCCCAGGGAGCCTGGCACTGAGCAAAGGCTCACTGTTTACTGCCAGGTCGATTACATGGTCCGTGGACCTCAGGGGCTCTGCATGGGGCACAAGTACAGTTGGTTCTGGCTTTTCTCCCTTGTTTATGTGATAATCCCCACTCCTTTTCTGTCCTAGCTAGAGTCCTAACACTTAAGCAGCTAACTTGTGAGGACTGGGAAAGCCATGGCCAGGCCTCTCTCCAAGTCAGCAAACTTCAAAGACACTGGCAAGCATGTGAGCTCCTGCCCCTTCCGCATGCAGCTGTGCCCATCATCCTCGACTATTTTCCCCTTGCTCTCTGCCTCACCAGCCTTCCTTCCCTAGAGGGCATTTTCCAAGCGTTGTCAGGTGTGCGGACCTCAAGGTGCCTGGGCCTGATTTGGAGTCTTTGTGCCTCCCCCTCCCTGAGGCGTTCTGTGGAGGCCCTGGTCTTCGCTGTGTCTTTATCCTCATTCACATCCCTGCTGCTCTTAAAAGAGTGGGTACCTACCCCGGCCTCATTCAATACCCATAATTCATTACTGGCTTAGAGCTCTCCACCCCACCTTCCTGCCAAACTAATTTAGCTGTCAGTGTGGTTTTTTCCCTGGCAATATCAGTCCTAAATTTCGCTGCCGTCTCAGCTACTCCCATAAAGCCAGGCTTAGAGGAGGGGATGAAGAAGAACTGTGCTTCAGTTTATCTCTTGGACTCTTCCCAGATGATAAATTTAGTTGCCAAATCCTGATTAATCTCTTTTGTCATTTTTTAAATAAATAAATAGATTTTCTTGTCTGAGCTAGAGACAAGGCAGAGAAAATGGGGATTAGGCACCAGATAGGCGCCAGATTTAGCCTTTAACAAGGGCTGCAGGTGTTCGAACTCATTGAAAGATCAAGTAATAGAAGGAAACTGAGTGCACATGGGGCCCCGCCTTCCAAGGAAGCAAACTGCCTGACATGTTTGAGCAGGTGCTCAAAAAATGTTAATAGACTTTTCAGGTCATTTATTTTTTTAAAAAAAGCTAATAGAGTTTATAGGTAATGTATTCCATCAGTGAACATCACTTGAGCCTAGCTTAGGCTAAGATGGGTTGGCAAACTTTTTCTGTAAAAGACCAGATAGTAAGTATTTTAGGCTTTGTGGGCCATATGGTCTCTGTCGCAACTAATCTGTTCTACCATTGTAATGTGAAAGCAGCCACAGACAGTACATACATGAATGAGCCTGGCTCTGTTCCAATAAAATGTTATTTTATCTCACTGGGGACTCTGGTGGCAGGTTTAGTGTGCCAATCCTGGGAGAAGGAATCAAAAAGATCTGAGTTCAAATCCCAGGTGGTTCTTTAACTAGATGTGTACAAGGCAAGCAACAATATCTCTGATCACTCCCTTTCCTCATGTATGAGACAGGGATAAAAACAGTAGTCACCTCATAGAATCGCTGAAAGAGTGCGTGTTAAACAGTACAGTGTGTGGCACACAGCATGCACTCAGTAAATCACTGCTATATTGTCTCTCTCCCCTGGAATGTAAGCTCCATAAGAGTAGGGACTCTGCTTCGTTCTCTGCTGTATTCCCAGCACCTGTGGCTGTACCTGGCACATGTGTGTGCTCAGAACTAGATGGATAGATGGATGGGAGGTTGGATGGACAGATAGAGGGATGGTTGAATGGATGGATGGATGGATGGATGGGTTGGTGGTTGGATGGATAAATGGATGGATGGATGGATGAATGAGTGGATGGGTGGGTGGGAGGGAGGGTGAATAGGCACAGGATGTATAGGCTTTCTAGAAGAATATTAAAAGTGACAAAGCGTAACCTCTGACTCCAAGGAGCCCGCAGTCTAGTTTGGGGGAGGAAGACATACTAAACGTGATCATAGTTAGGAAAAGGGATGGCAGAAAATAGAGGAAACCAGGGGCAAAGAATGTAATGAAGGGAAGACAGGGCCAAAGGATCTTTTGGAAGAAACTCTTCAGGAGCTGCCAGTGCTTTCCAGAGTTCAGAACCTTTCATTGTGGAAACATCTCTGGATTCATCCCCATCCTCTGATATCAGAAATCAGAATGCCAAAGCCAGTTCCTTGGATGTACATGTTCCAGAAATACATAGGTTTTTCTTGGTCATCTTTTTTTTTTTTTTTTTTAACCCCCAAAAATATTCTTTTTTTTTTTTTTTTTGGCTGCGTTGGGTCTCTGTTGCCACATGCGGGCTTTCTCTGGTTACGGCGAGCGGGGGCTACTCTTCATTGTAGCACGCGGGCTTCTCATTGCAGTGGCTTCTCTTGTTGCGGAGCACGGGCTCTACGCGCACGGGCTTCAGTAGTTGTGGCTCACAGGCTCCAGAGCGCAGGCTCAGTAGTTGTGGTGCACCGGCTTAGTTGCTCCGCGGCATGTGGGATGTTCCCAGACCAGGGCTCGAACCCGTGTCCCCTGCACTGGCGGGTGGATTCTCAACCACTGCGCCACCAGGGAAGCCCTCCTTGGTCGTCTTTTAGGCTCTCACACACTCTGCCTTTGGATGGTCCTCCATCAATTTAGGACAACCTGGCATTTAAACAAAAATGGAGGTGAGGTAAAGCCTCTTTGAAGCCAGAAGGAGATAGGCAAAGTTTAACCAAAAAAAGTGTCCTAAAGAGAAAGCTTTTTGTCTTAAATCTGGTCTAAATCTCATTTCTTTTTCATTCCAGTGAGAATTTCTCTCTGATGACAAAGAGTTCCCCTGACTTCATTTAGGACCCTTTTCTCCCTAACCATAGCTCACTGAATCACCATACGGGTTCTGTTTCCTCAGCTATAAAATGCGAGAGTTAGGCTCTGTAACTCCTACTATGAGGGTCTGAGACTGGGGAGCCCAACCAGCCTCATTATGAGCTGCTCATTATAAGCAGTCTGATCCCTTGCCTGGCAACTCAGTGGCCCTGGTGACAATGCCTCAGGCAACAAGATAGTCTTCCTTAGGCCCTTATGTCGCAGGGGAGAACATGCCAGGGCCTCTTGGGAATAGGTCTAAGGATGCTATGAGTCATGTGGGATGTATTTTCATGACCAACAACACTGAGTCATTGGTTACCTCCTTAAATGAACAAAACACAAAGCTTGACGGAAGCTGCTGGGGGAGAAGAGGGAGGGGGGACCCCTAGTGTAACTGTCAGTTGATTCTTTCCTGAGCTCATCTCCTCCTCTGCAGACTGTGGTGTGTTTCTTTAGGATGTTGACTTGCCCCTCCATCCCCTCCCCCTCCAGTTGCTGCACCACTGCTTGACAGTGTTCCCACGGCCTTACCCTTGACCTCCCTGTAGCTGTTCTACCTTCTGAAGTCTGAAGGAACCCCGCCCAGCAGCAGAAAAGCCTTGTTTCCTTTCCAGCTCACCTGAGGCACCTGTCATGCACCTGTCGTGGTTCTCACTGTGAGGAGGAGCGTGTCCCCCTTGGAGCTCTAGAGGAGCCTTTTCAAACCCAGCAGCACCCATACACTGACTCTCACATGCTCCTCCCCGGGGTGGGGGGTGTTGTCCTCACCACCACATTGAGGACCACTATCCAGAGCCTTTGAAATATCTCCTTCAGTCCCGTACGTGCAGCCCCTGAATTTTGGACACAGACAAGCAGAGAGGTGTGGGAGGAGTGATGCATGAACTCAGGCCCCGGGAGTGATCTGTAAGTAAGAGGCCAAAGGCTTGCTGCTACATCCTGCCAAAGCCAGTGGAAGGTGGGAGTTGAAGCGGTGAGAGGCAGAGAAGCACTGCCCCCTTCCTTCCACACACCTGTGGCATTTCTTCGTGGGAAGCAGAGTGAAGAGAAGCTTGATCTGGTAGATCCAACTTAAAAAATTACTACTCATTGCATGATGTCTTTTTCCTTCAGTTTTCCTTGGGGCCGAGTGGGAGTGGTTGGGATAAGAAGGGGAGTTCTTGTTAACTTCCGGACCACAGTAGTCACCTTCCCTTTGGTTTGAGGAGGGCAGTCCATCCTGATGTGGTTAGAAGGATGCTTGCGAATTTTCTTAGGACAGTGCTTCATAAATTTTAATCTATGTACAGATCACCTGGGGATCTTGTTTAAATGATTCAGTAGGTCTCAGATGGGCCTAATTCTCCATTTCCAACAAGCTCCCAGATGCTGCTGATACCCCTGTCGTGTGGGCCACACTTTGAATAGCAAAGCTTTAGGAGAAAAGGTTTGATTGCTCCTTCGTTTCTATTTAATGACTTGAATCACCAAGCCCCGAGCTCTCAGAGTCACGTGCTTGTGCCCCTCCTCACCCCAGAAGTTGTGCTGTCATTGGTCCTCTTTCTTTTGAGCATTTTCACATGATCAAGTGGGCATGGAATCCTCTGTTTTATTCTTCAGCCTGAAAACAGAAGCAATAGAAACACCTCTAGTTGTCCAGGGAGTGCCCAATTTCTTTTTGGTTCAAACTGATGGAATTTAAGGGAATTTTACCATATTCCCATTACTCCTGTGAGGATGCTGTAGTTATCTATGGCTGTTTAACAAAATGCCACAAAACTTCACTTAAAAGTATTTCTCATCTCTGAGTGTCTGTGGGTCAGGAATTCAGGAGTGGCTTAGCTGGGTGCTTCTGGCTCAGGGTCTCTCCTGGGGTTGCAGCCAAGTGGTTGGCTGGGCCTGTGGTCATCTGAAGGCTTGACCAGAGGATTCAGTTCCAAGATGGTGTACTCACATGGCTGTTGGCAGAAAGCTTCAGTTCCTTGCTAGCTGTTGGCAAAACGCCTCAGTTCCTCACCATGGACCTTTCTATAGGGCTGCTTAAGTGTCCTCGAGCAGAGGGAGTGATCCAAGAGAAGGAGAGCACAAGGAGGAAGCTGCAGGGACACTATGACCTAGTCTCAGATGTCAGACACTAACTACCACTCCTGCTTTAGTCTGCTTGTTAGAAGCAAGCCACTGAGTCTAACCCACCCTCAAATGGAGTGAATTAAGCTCTACCTCTGGAAATGAGGAGTATCAAGGAATTTGTGAACTTTTTTTTTTTTTTTTAAACCATGCCACACGGCTTGTGGGATCTTGGTTCCCCAGCCAGGGATTGAACCCACGACCTCAGCAGTGAAAGTGCAGAGTCCTAACCACTGGACCGCCAGGGAATTCCCTGTGGACATATTTTCAAACCACCACAAATGCCCCCTGTCAAGGAGCCACTGTGGTAGGTGACTCACTTAAGGGTGTGATACCCCAGGCCTCTGCTCTTCTCAGGGCACCTGTGAGGTTGTGAACATCAGAGACCCCATTCCTTGTAAAGACCTTTCAGAATGGAACGTCAACAGTTCCATTCCATGGCAACAGAGTCCACCCAATTACTTGTGAAACTACAAAGCACTTATAGTGCAAAGAGGGTAGAATAACACAGTGATGAAGAGCCAACCTCAGTCCTGAATTTGAATCCTGGTTCTGCCACTTACCAGTTATGTGCCCATGAGAAAATCACTTAAGCCTCAGTTTATCTTAAAAAAGGGAGATAATAACAACATATATCTCAAAGTGGTATGCGAAAATTAGGTGAGATGCTGATGTCAAGTGTGTAAGTCCTGGACTGGGAAATAGTAAGTGTTCAATACACATCAGCTACTATTAGCTGTTCTTGATAGCCTGCTTCCACCTGAGGTGAGCTTCCTACGGTTGAAGAAATATTAGCCACAAGTTTGTGCATTTCCTTCACCGGTGCCTCTTCTTACACCTTATTCAAATTCTGAGAGGTCTGGTTGACCTCTGCCCATAATGAGGGCCATTCCACATATGGACAGATTGACTTGTCAAGCCGAGGCAGAACTCTCCCCAGGGCTAGTTCCTTCACCACCTCTCTGCTTCTTAAGAGGCAACGTCAGCGAGAGTCCAAGGCAGAGAGAGGCCCCATCAGCCCCTCTCTTATGACACAGGTTTCTTTCTCGGCACTGAATTGAGCGGGGCCGGCTCCTTCCAACTCCCAGCACTGGGGGACGATGCTTTTAACCAGGAAGTGCCATTTTTGTTTTGGTTTTTTTTTTTGCGGTACGCGGGCCTCTCACTGTGGTGGCCTCTCCCGTTGAGGAGCACAGGCTCCGGACGCGCAGGCTCAGCGGCCATGGCTCACGGGCCCAGCCGCTCCGCGGCACGTGGGATCTTCCCGGACCGGGGCACGAACCCGCGTCCCCTGCATCGGCAGGCGGACTCGCAACCACTGTGCCACCAGGGAAGCCCGCCATTTCTGTTTTGAGCTACAGAAGGAAACTGACAGGTTGTTTTGAATTGAACTTCAAAATCAGTTCAGGGCAAAGTGCTTGAAAGAGCCTTCAGGGAAATGAAAAATGTTATTTGTTCTGTGGTATGTTTTGAGATTTTTGTTTTAATGTAGTAAAAGTGTCCTGACAGAGATTTTGATAGGCTTATATTACATATTTATGTCTTTAAAGCAATCAAAGAAATCCTTTATAGTTCATGTTCTGTTTTCTCTCCAGGTATTTAGTCTTCCTGCAGATCAAAAGGGATCTGTACCACGGCCGCCTCCTCTGTAAAACATCAGATGCTGCCTTGTTAGCAGCTTATATCCTTCAAGGTAATGACTTTTGACAGGATAAATTTGCCTTTCATGCTACGTACTGATTACATTATTTCAGTTGCCGCACATGACTACTTCTTGGATATAAACAGTATCTAACTTGAAACAGAGCCCAAGTTAAAAGACTTTGCCTGGACTCCCTAGTCCCAGGAAGCTCTGACCACACAACCTTAAATGGTTTGTACCTAAAGTCTTTCTGGCAGCCCCTTCAGACTCTGTTCGGTGGGGGGGGGTGGCTTTCCTTGCACCCTTGGTCGATAAAGTTATCGAGACTCTGGAGAGTAATCCAAATCAGCTTTTTCTTGTCTTTTTATTCAAATCTCAAAGATGTGAAGCACCTTGGAATTCTGGTATCTGTTTCAGAGACCTTTCCATTCAGAGTGCTCTAAGTTAAAAATGTTTCCAAGTAACAAACCCATTTTCTAACATGCAAAGAAGGCAGAGTTGGGGTTGTATTCAGCCAATACCCAGACTGGCGGTTTTTGCAAAACAGTGGGAAAGGTACGTACTCTTCGTATGTGATCCTTTCTCCTTCCGTGAAATGCAGGGGACTTCTAAGTATTCTAAGTTCGTAGACTTCTCTTAGTCCTTTGGCCTGAAGCTGTCACTGGGTTATTTTGGACCATAGCACTAAAATCATGAAGTTTCTATCAAAGAATCTGAATTCATAATCAGAAATCTGTGGAACTCCAGGAAGCTACTTTGTGAACAGAACCTAAAAAAATGCTTGCCAATAAGAAACGAAAGTTCTTCCGGCAAAAAAAAAAATATCACAGCTGCGTTAAGAATGTAAAAGTCAGCCTATTACAACTTTGACTTCTGAGACTCCTGTTTTTAAAAACCTCCTAAGCCTGAAGTCTAGAAGGTACTTGCCAACTTTAAGGTACCCAAAGATACTCCTTTCATTTTTTAAAGGAAAACCTGGTCCCATCTAAGTGAGATTTTAAACTCTAGTTTTACCCTGACAACCATATTGAAATTTTCTTTTTTTTTTTTTTAATTTAAAGAAGCTATTGATATCCAACATTGATGTTTCCCATTTGGAGCTTTCTAAGTAAAATCATAATAAATGACTCCATGGCTCAAGATCACTTCAGACTTTAAGCCCAGGGAAACCTTTAGTCTCTTGCTAAATGACAGAAATTCCCGAGTAGTCTGGAAGCCACTATGAGGAGACCTGTGCCACAGAACAATATTCAGTTGTGAAAAAAGGGCACATTTTCCTCTTAATATTTACTCCCCACTCAAGACTTCTCACCTGCACTGGTTGTGGTTCTCACTAGGGGAGGAGAAAAGACAACCACAAAGCAGCTGAACTTCTTAACATCCTTCCTCCTGACACACACAGTGTTCCCTGTGGAATGCTGCATGTGGAGAAGGCTGGATTCTGACCTAGGAACACATTGTAGGGAGTAGCCTGGGCCCACTGGCCCCCCCAGATCTGAGATCTCAGCAGCTTTGGGGATGGACTCTCTCTGTGAATCTGCAGGACGAGAAAGCCCCACCCCCTGCTGGGAACGGAGAAGTCAGCCTTAGGACCTGGTGCTCCTGAACTCAGCGGCCCTTTCTGCTTATAGCCAGTCTTCCCACTCTGCAGCCCTCTCCAGGGGGCCTGGCACCTGTTCAGCCCTCAGTGAATATTTATTCAAATGTGTTCACTTGATTTGATTTGATTGGGACTGAGAGTTGAGTTCTGAGTTTGGGTCATGGTTCATTCATCATTTTGCTGTGTCCCTGCTAAAATCCTCAAAACGAGATTTAGTCTTTGGATGTGGCTCAGGCCCAAAAGCTTCTGTCTTTCTGATCAAGCTCACAGTTTTCTGTGCTGCCACAAAGAGCATTGTTCTCAGGCTCTCTTCCGGGAGCCTGTGGGCCATGGTGCAGACTTCTGCTCTTTTATTGCAAATTTACATTTGGTGACCTCAGAACGCAGGGTCAGCTCTACCTTCTCTACTTGGCCTTGATATCAACTCAGTGTGCACACCTGGGAAAACAAAGGTGGGCCTGCTCCTGAGGAACATGCCCTCTGCCCGACTCACAGCTGTGCTCAGGATCCACTGTTCTTTGCAAATGTGGTGCAGAGTTTAGCTTTTGCTCTCTGTGTTAATCTCTTGTTGTTTTGCCAGTGATGATTTACCTATCTCCACAACTGTTTTCCTCTACTTTCCTTTTGCAAGCGGAGATTGGGGATTATGACCCAGGAAAACACCCTGAAGGCTACAGCTCCAAGTTCCAGTTTTTCCCTAAACATTCAGAGAAGCTGGAAAGGAAGATTGCTGAGATTCACAAAACAGAACTCAGGTGCGTGACACTCGGTTCAGGCCAGGCCACTGTCTCCCTCACAGCCTGAGCACACAGCCTCTGCACTGCATCCTCTGCTCCTGCAGACCCAGCCTTCCTGACTCTGGGATGTACCATTTTCAGTGATCCACTGACAGTACAACCTCAAGGCTCCCTCTCCAAGAACAGTGGTGTAGGCTGAGGCTTGAAGGCAAGAGAGAAGCTATATAGGTAAGGAAAATGGAGAAGGATTGGCCTCTGAAAGGTATTTGCTTCACTAAGATAAATGAAGAGACAGAGGGAAGAATCATGAACTGGGGAAAAGGAAAAGGAAAATGTAAACAGCAGAAGAGGGAAGAGAGGAGGGGTTAAGTGGCGATGTGAAAAATGGGCAAGCCTCTGACCTTGGTCCGTGACAGTGACAGGTGGCTTCTGGATCAGTGGATGGGACCACACAGGGCTGGCCTGATTCATAGCTGGTGTGGGTACCTTGAGAGCACCTCATTCAAGGGTGTGTCTTCAGCACTGCTTCCTCAACCCCACACCCCTGCACTGAGGGAAGGAGGGGAGAAGCAGCTGGAAGCAGGAGGCTTGTCCTCCTCAGATTCTCCTAGGTCACCCAGAATGTGCCACATCCCATAAAATAGCATCAGTGCATCCTCTCACCCATATGAAATAGTGTTTTCTACAAAGGTTGGTTTTTTAAAAAGCAACAAAAGGGTGTTTAGGCTCTACTTTGTATGGCACACTGGAGCACAGATTCCCCAAACTGATAAACTAAGAAAAAATTTATATACAATACAGCATTGTAAAATAAAACCTGCTATCATATTAATACAGTGCAATTAAAAAAAAAATCTTTTCAAATGTTTGTGTAACTACCTTTCTGGGGAATGACAATGTCCAAGGGGTGGGAAAAAGATATTTCTAATGATAACATTAACCTTAAACTAGTTCCTACCTGATGCCCCCCGAAACAAAAAATCTTCACCTTCACTCAAAGATTTTACCAACAAATACGTCCCCAAAGCCTCTTTAGCCTTATAAACAGACCTCCTGCCCACTGTGTGTGGTTGGACTGGTCCCCACCCTCCAGAGGAATGGAGACACCTACCAGAGGTGGAATCCTAGCCGCCTCCCACCCCTCTCCCTGTGCAGGTGCTGCCCCAGCTCCTCCCATCACTCTTAGGGAATAGTGGCCCCTTGTGGTACAGGTCAGAATAAACACATCTGTGAGGGCTCCTGGCTCATTAAAAGGAGAGATCAAGGGCGTGCTGGGACAGCCAGGAGCCCCTGCCAGGAGGGTTTTAGGAGATGTCAGAGCAGTGGGGACAGTCCTCCAGAAACCTCATAGAAGTCAGGGGATTCCTCAGGAAATGATGCCCACTTTGAGGGTCCCAGAGGGTTGAGGGTGAATGCAGCCCACGGAGCCCTCCAGTCTCCACACAGGGAATAAGGAGGCTCCCTGGAAGGGGTAGCGGTGCTCAGCTGCCTCTGGTGCCCGGTCCTTTGCCTGCTGCGCCAGCATTTTCCAAACACCTTCCCTGTGTCTCAGGTGCGCTGGTGGGGGTAAACATCTGCATTCTACAAAATGCCTCCTTACACAGGCGCTCCTTACACAGGTGCTCCTTACACAGGCACTCCTCCTTACACAGGCACTCCTTACACAGGCGCTCCTTACACAGGCGCTCCTTACACAGGTACTCCTTACACAGGCGCTCCTTACACAGGCGCTCCTTACACAGGT